CTGTATTCAACACATTTCTTTTACATTTATATATATATATAAAAAAATAAATGAATTTTTTTTACAATGTTTGACATATTTTTTTTTATTAGCAAATTAAAAGAAATGTTCCTCAAGAAAAGATAAATGGTCCGTTCTAGCTTGGTGAAGGGATTTTTTTTAAACCAGCCCGCTATAAATTAGGACTCCTCTAAATGTGTTTAGTGACATCTTCTCTCTATTTTCCTGGTGTTAAGTTTTAAGGTACGCTGCTCTGAATCAAACTAAGGGGCTGGCCGCCTATTAATAATTACCTTCTTTATCAAGGGGGTGTTGTCTCATGCAATAAAGTAACTATCAAAACAACCCCTAATTCGATAGAAATGAAACTGCTGCGTTCTTTTGTGATACTGAGGAGATTAAGAAAACAACAGATTTAAGTATCCAAACAACTACCAGATGACCAGCCCCCTCCCGAAAAACGAAACCGATGTTAAATCTGACATATTTTGTGGCCCTGCAGGATACACTTTATTAAAACAGGCTTTCTCTTTTCCCTAGCCAATTCACCATTACGAGGAAGTCATAAATGCCATTAGATGTTCTTGCATCACGTTTTACCACAATCCAGAAACCACATGCATTGTCTTCCTATATGTTTGCCTTTGTACAGTTTGGGATTAAACAAATTTGGGTTCATGAGAGAAATTTCAGACACTACGGATTAGGGCATTTCATTTTCAGGATTGTTTTTGGATTGCTCTACACATAATCTCATTGAATCCATTTGAAGGTTTTTAATTGGTAAAAAATGCAATAAATCATTTCCCGAAAAGGCATCTAGTTAACCTCTTTTTTCACATAAAACGATTTTACTGGCTTACATGTGGCACCCTGGAACTCTGGGTGCGTCACACACAGGCAAGTATTGAAGGTTTGATTTAGGTTAGACCCTAATAGATGTTTTGATTAGTGTTCCTGTGTAGATATTAAGGCTTTATTTTTATTCCAGCAGGCCCTGTGGTGAATGATGGTGGCCTGAGCTGGCTGAGGAAGAGCTATCAGAGGATGAAGGAGCAAGCAGAGAGGGAGCAGCGCAGCCTCAGTGATATAGTAGCTCAGAGATATGGGGTGAGGATTGCAATGAATGTGTTCATTCACAGGCTAAAATTACTCAGAAATGGTTAAGGATTGGTCTCCTGTTAACAGAAACATTTACAAATAAGTATTGACCATGACTCATCCTGATCAGTTCTGTGAGGAGAAACCTATCCTAGAAATACGTTTTAAAGCAAGGTGAAAATAAGCCATGATGACCTACCAGGAATAAAGCTGCATGAACACTAATATCAGATAGTGAGGAAACCTTTCTGATGTCCCCGAAAAAACTTAAACATCTTTGTTTTTTTTGTTTTTTTTAATCAGTCGATGGAGGAATTTCAGAAGAGGCTTGCTGATGCGGAGAAGGCTGTGTACGGTCGGAGTAGAGGAGACAGAGAGCATTCAGGGAGAGAAGGATGGCGGAAAGGAGAGGAGGATGCCAGCGAGAGATGGAGGAGAACAGAGGATGATAGGCAAGATCGGGATCGGTGGAGAAAATGTGAACGAGACTTGTCACCACTAGATAAAGATAGGTCACGGAGGGGAGATGAGAGGGAGAGGTACAGGGGAAGAGAGGAGGACAGGAGCCGAGATGGAGACAGGTGGAGACACAGGGAGAGAAGATGGGACAGAGGACGAGACGACGGAAAAGACGATGAAAAAGAAAGGGATCGTTATGGAGATAAAAGAAAAGACTTCAGCACACAAGCATCATCATCATCATCATCATCATCTGGAGAGAGTTGGAGTCAGCGTTCCTCCTCTCTTGGCTCATTAAAAGCCCGTTTCCTCAAACCCTCAGATGACGACGAGAGCTCTGAAGGTGGGTTCAGCCATGTGTTCAGGATCCTATAGTCCCTTTTTGTAGGTACCTAATAGAATCCTTTATAAAGCGATCCATTAAGTTGGTTTGAATCATTTTTATAGCCTCTAAAAGGTTTCGAAAGGAAGCAGCAGTGATGCTAGAAATATGTTTTCTGACAAAGAATAAAAATAATCTTTTATTACATTTTAAACGTACGGTGGGTCTTTGTACTGTTCTGCAGCGCCTCAGCGGCCTCCTCCACCTCAGGCCTCCAGCGGCTTCCTAAAACCCGGCTCTGATGACGAGGACCCCTTCCCAAAGAAGAGCAGCACCCAAGCATGGAAAAAAGGCAGCAAGTCTGCTCATGAAGCCGACGGGGGAGAAAATCTTCAGGAGAGCAAGCTTCAGGCAGAGAAGACCGCAAACATTCCTCACGCAGCTCCATCAGCAAGGTTTGAGGATTTTTGTTTGTTAAATGGTGTGACAGGCAGTAGCTGAAATCATTGGCAAGTTTATCTTGCAGCATGACTAAAACCTGCAGATAGAGAGCACTGAGAACATCGATATTTAGGTCTTTCCACAGATAATTCAAAGGATATGTTGTCATTCTAAGTAGGGCTGAAACAATTATTTGGATTAATCAATTATTGAAATAATCGTTAACTAATCTAGTAATTGATTAATTGTTAACTGGAGTTTAGAGACTCTAAACTGTGTCTTTAGCTGACAGAGCAACCCACCTGGAGGAGCAATTATACCAAAATTGAAAAAAATTAAAATATGTAAACATTTAGTATTTAAGATAAAAAATCTTCAATATGCTCTATCCAGAACTCATCAGGTGGAAAATATTTAGTTTCACCTGGTTTGTTTTTGTTTAAAGTCTTCTTTAAGAAACCATTTGCTATCTGATTATTAATCGACTGATTAATCGATTTGCTAAATAATCATTAGTTGCTGCCCTAATTCTAAGTGATGATTTGGCAATAATAATCCAATGAGCTTTACAAGAAGGCAAAAAGAACATTTAAATAGCAAAATAGACTTTGGGCTTTGTTTAAAAAGAGTGTTCAGTATTCCTAAAATTTAAAGTTGTAAAAGGATTCATTATGTAAAACGTAAGCTTTTAAGTCACGCTTTAATCACTTCTCAGTGATAAAGTCAGGTTCTTGGATCAAAGGCCGAAAGGAAATTACAACGTTTCACTTCTTTATAAAAGAAAATCATCTATTAGTCTGAGGTCATGTCTTTTGCTGGGAACAAAGCACAACAAATGTCTGAGGGAACACCAACCTGTGAAACCACTCTGCTCCTCACAGACAGCCTCTGTCTCAGATGATTGCAGAGTAGCTCACCGCTTTCTTATAAGAACGAAAAGAAAATGTAAAAGTAAAGATGGCATCTTAAAAATAAAAGTAACAATGCAGGTTGTCATGGTGTTCTGGTGTGATATGTGGGCCAGATGTCAGGGTATCACTGCTTTGTAAGACATCCCTTGTTTCGCCTCATTAGACTAAGTTGTTTTGGTAAACGGGCAGTCAGAGCCCCCTGCAGCATGAAATGAGCCTATATGGTGGGAGCAGGCGGAAATGATCCTGTGAGAAGTGTAATAGTGTAGAACGCTGCTTCCCAGGCAAGGCTCTTATTATCGCTGGAGGGGCCTGACAACTCGAATGGATAATATCAGATAAATGGTGGGAGGGATCTCAGAAGCAAACAAATAAACTGAGTGATCAAAAAACTTCAGAATAAAATGGAAAATGGTTTCTGAATCAGCGAGAAGATGTGTATTTTACACTACTTATCTTTTTACTCTTTTTGAATCTCTTTATACAGGAATGAGAGTGAAAGTGAGGAGGAGGAGGAAGAGATTCCACTCCTGTCAGAGGAAGAAATGAACAAGCTGGGGTCAAAGCTGATAAAAGCAGAGATCATGGGCAATACGGTGAGTTGGGTTTTTATTAGTTTGAAGTATTCAGAAAAGCTCTCAAAACAACTTTTCCTCAAAGCAAAGAGAAACTTTATGTACGCATGGAGCTGTAACGATGCCCAAACCTTTATTTTTTAAATCATTCTCCGTTCTTGGTCGCATGGATTGATCTGCATTGATTATTAATTAGGGTGACCATATTTTCTTTTGGGAAAACCAGGACACCTTGGAGCGGGGGGGGGCGATATTGAAAGAACAAATGTCTCATCATCGGGATTTGCTCCGTGATCAGAGGAAATGTTACTTGGCGCAGAACAGTTGTGAAAATTTGAAGTTCAGTTTAATATAATACAACTATGTGAATAGTTCCGTCTGAAATTAATGAAAATAGTTGTTTTAATGGTTATAAAGTCAGATATGTGGCGGTAATGTTTGGTTTATCTAAAGGTTTTAATCTGTTACTGTGTAAATGAGTTTGGCTGTAATTTAAGGTCAGATTCTAATAGATCTGCAGGGTGGGAACTATAAATCTGATAGGAGTTTAATTTTTTTATTGTTGTTTTGCACAATATGCTTAACTAAGTATTTTTTGTTGTTGAATATTACAGATTTTGCAGATATATTTTGTAGATGCATTGTTTAGATTTACTTATATATTTCTAACCCTTTTATAGAATAGAATAGAAAATCCCTTTATTGTCCCACAATGGGCAAATTTACAGCAGCAAAAAGATTATTGAAAATGGTCACACAAATGAGGACCTTAGAGAAATGTATAAGAATAACATGATAGGGAAGAGTTAAAATATAAAAAATAAATTTCTGTAAAGTGTTTTAACAATATAAAACTGGAGAATAAATAACCAATATGCAGCTATGGACATTTTTACAGTAATGGATATTTGAAAATAGCAGCAACATCAGAGATGTGCAAAATGACAGCAGCAGGTTATTTAACTGACTAAGGTTTCTATCATTACATTTGATTTGATTTGTTCCTGCTCCCGGTGGTTGGAACCTTTATTCCACTCTGGATTCTTGTGAGTGTAGTCTTTGCTCACTTTAACTTTTTTTTAAATAAATAAATAAACAAAAAGGTTTTGAAAACCTCGGTATTCATTCTTTTCCTGCATTGTGTGTCAACTTTCACGGTTGCTAAGCAACAGAGCATACGGCGGTAAAACCCGCTGAAGGGAGGACCTGTTCGAATTTACAGACAGAACTCTTCCGGCCTCCTTATTTTCAAGGACTTGGAAGGATCCAGTCTAGGTAGACCGCGTCCTTGGAGGATGCAGCCCAGGTTTTTGAACAGAGCCTCTGATTAAGAGCAGGGCTGCCTGCACTGACGCGGCTCAGGGATTACGTCACACGGAGCGTCGTGCGCAGTGAAATCAGGACATTTCCTCACTTTCTAAAAAAAACCCGGGACGCCCGGGACAGGACGTGAAATACGGATATGTCCCGGGAAATACGGACGTTTGGTCACCCTATATTAATGTCATGGTGTGGCCCTGGTCTGGTGTTCAGGGAGCCTTTTCATTGGTCCATGCCACAATGAGCTTTGGGTGACTTAAGAGGACCTACCCACTAACATATCGTTATGTTTGATTGTTTTGTTTTTTAGGCTATGGTTGAGAAACTGAAGTCACAGCTGGAAGCAGCTCAGAAAGCAAAGGAGATTCATGCTGCCAGAAAGAAGGAGCATGAAGCAGCTCAGTCAGCCCAGGTTGGTCAATTTCCATTTTAAATTCTTAGGGCCACCAGCAAAGATCAGGTGGTTCATAAAACTGAGCTGATAATTTTTGATACGGTGTAACCAGGTGGGGAACATTTCCAAAGCTGGTTTTGTTTCATTGTTTACATGCAAGCTAGCATCTTTTTTTTTGTTTGTTTTTAAAGATGATGTTGCACCTGCATCCCCTCTTTGCTGCCATGTTGCTTGTTTACTTTGCATGAGCTATCTTTTCCAGCCCAATTTCTTTCTCAGTGGTTTCATAGTGATTCTGTTGCAGTGTCACAGTGCCACCAAAGGGCCCGGCGTATGTACTGCAGCATCTTATGTGGTGCTGTTTGCACCAAATTTTTCTAAATTGTTTTTGATAAAATACCTTGTTCATCTTAATGTAGACGAGGCTTTACACCCCCCTCCTCTGAAGGCAGTGTTGTTTTGAACAGCCATCTTAGATTTAGTCTTAGTCTTAAGTTTGGTTTATGCTCAGACAGGAGGCCTCTGATTGGTCAAATCTACATCGGCTCTACACTATTCGTATCTCCTGTTTGGTACCTTACAGGCTTGTTTTGTTTGTATGACCGCCATTGTGGAAAACGACTCGTGGAGTTGCACCAGCTAGAAGAGCGAGGTGCGTGAACACGCTGGGACCCTTTTTCCACCTGGATCCCTGCTCTTTTTTGCCCTCATGTCCCTCTGTTGTTGCACAAACTTGCCCTTAGCGTTTTTCTCACTTCCTCGCCGCCTTGGCCGTTTCTAGACCCACCGCTAGTTCGTGATTGTCCCTCTTGCATTGTGACCTTTAATAACAGCGCAGATCACGCTTCAAAATTGGCCATAAATCAAAAATATCTGCGTCACACCTGCAACAAGCTCACTGCGACACACTGCTGTGGGAGTATAACCAGCCCTTTAGTCTTCAGGACGAAAACGATTATTAGCTTTAGTCGCAGTTTAGTTATTATGATAGCTGATGGTTTTAGTCGACTAAAACTTAAAAAAGGTTTTAGTCCAGTTTTAGTTAGCTTTATGTTGCTAAAAAAAGTTTACCTTTACAATTTCGAATAACAACTGGATTCTTTACCAGACTGACAGCTTTAGCCTAAATACTACAATTGCTGGGTTTCGAATGTTGATGTGCAGTTCATCATTGCTGTTGGGCAGAAAACTTTGATTTATAGAATTCTTTTTTTTTTTATGAATTAATGTCCTATTTTATTTTAAAACAAATAAAAAAAACCGTCTGCTGCTGTAACAATAACAGGTTTAGTTCAACACATCATATTGGTTAATATATCAGACAGACAAGCTAACAAAATGTACAAAAAAGGAATGTTTTTAGACATACTAGGTTTCCATCCCAAACACTTCCTGATATACTATGAATTGTGCATTACACACAGATCAATTAAATCTTCCTTGCTCCAAAAAAAAAAACAAAGAAAAAGAAATTTTTCTTTCTACTTTGGCAATTTTGGCTTTATTTCTTAAATTTACTCCTTGGTTAGTGCTGCTCAGGGGTCAACGTAGATTTAAAATCACAGGGTTTTGATGTAAAAAAAAAATACAGAGAGAACCTACATAATTGCCTTGTAATGCCATATCAATCAATTGCTAAATTGAATGAATATGTGAACTAAAATGTTGAAATATTTAAAGGAAAAAGCGAAAATGTTTAAATGATATTTCAAGGAAACATTTTCATATGTGAATAGGTAGAAACAAGAACTGTGAGAAATATTCAAATATCCATATACATTTTCACCTGGGTCTTAATTCAAGAATAAACAGTATGCAGTGAAATATTTAGTTTGGATATATTTTGTTTGCATATAAATTAAGGGATTCCTTTTGGAATCAATGTCCGTGGCACTGTCTGCGGTCACCTACAATTTTGGAGAGGCGCGCCAGAGTGTCTGTGGAAGTGTGTTGATTTCACTGCGACACACACGCAGACAACCTGGTTTCTGAGCATAAACCAACAGGAGGTGAGTGTAAATTTAGGGATTCCTTTTGGTAGAAATTAAGGACTGCTTAGTATGACCTCTTGTAAGTTTGAAGGAATAAAATCTTGATAGTTGCACTAAGGGCTTGGCAGGGGATGATCAGCCACATATAGTTAGGAAGTATAGGAAGAGACATACTGCTGAGAGCAAACCATCAGTGTGGAGACTCAGAGCTACGTATGTGCAAAGATGCATTTCTGCAAAAACACAGATGGAAGATCAGATTATCAGAGTTCAGCCGCTGTATCGGTGTTCTGTCAGACACCTGGACCATTCTGGATTATTTTCACACCGCCGCTGCTGCCATTACCTAGCTGTGCTCATGCAGAACGAGCATGGTTCATCCTTAGTAGTGGGCTTCATGTTCAGACAGCATGGCTGATACTGCTTAGCAGATTACATCACATTAATGCAGTTTAAATGTCTGACCAACCACCCGCTAATTTTTACTTAGTCTCGTCTAATTTACTAAAACTCACACCCATAACTCTCTAAGTTTTCATCAAGAAAGATCCATGTTTAGCTCGTCCGTTTTCGTTATCATCATGAAAAAAAGGAGCAAAACAGAATAATTTTGTCATAGCCATCCTTGACGAAAACAACACTGTCTGGGGGGTTCATGGTTTAGCTGGGAATTAGAATTCACAATTAGCTAAATTTATTTGCTGCAAAAAAAAATCTATATATTTCAAAGTGATCAAACAGAAGAAATGATGATCTTTCTCATTTCTTAAATGCATGCTGCTCCTGAGAGCTTCTTACTTCTTGTGCTGATAACGATAGTTTCCAGCAGGGTGCATTTATCAGCTAGCACTCAGCTATGTGGATAAAAGGACTCACTTTTAAACACATAGACACACAGGGAGCACATAAGCTTCCCCATCACTCACACTTTTTTTGGATTTATCTCCTGCTACCACTAAAAGTCTAAACGCTAATCCAAAAGCCTTAAAGCTATATTTGTTCTAAACCTCACAGATACAGAGTGCTATAAACCGCTGCATCAGTCACTTTAGCATGCTGTTAAAAACAACCCTGAGACTCAAGCTTTGCTTCAGATGTAACTAAAGTCTCTGCGCTGATGTCTGTCTGCTCCTAAAAGGGAGTCTGTTTGAAGTGTGTTTGGTGTTCAGCTCTGATGTCTTGCTGTCTAGGTTGAAACTGTTCAAGTTGTGCACTTCAGTAACGACTAATACGAAACAAATGCTCTTTACTTGACACCAGCAATTTAAAAGCATGATGTTATTGTTTTAATGTGTTTCTTATAATAGCTAAAAAATTTGACAGTTATTGCAGTTATTTGGACATCTGGTCTAAAAAGTCCCACAACGGATTAATTTTTGGCTGCAGCTACGTATTCCCTATCCAGAAAGAAATCAAATTAGGGAATAATGTTCCTAAATAAACCTACCGGTAAATTAAACTGGACAACTTTCCCTTTCTGAGGTCTGGTAGGATTACCAAAATATTCTAGAATAATGCTTTAAAATGCTTTAAATAATCATGCTTTAAAGAAGTTGTGAGCTTATGGAAGGATATCAAGAAGGTTTGACTCAGTTTGCCTCCAGTCACTTAGGAGACAAACATGAAATATTGGTAGAAAATTGTTGCTTAATTGAATATAACTAGAATTGCATATAGTAAACGTTTCTCTAATGTTTCTGGAATTTTGCAAACATTATTTTGTTAATCCTATCCTATTTAAAAATAAGTAAAAAAAACTCATAAAATAACTATATTTGCCCTTAATTTAAGCAGGTAAATAAGATGATTTACCAATGGAAAGAATATTTTTACCCTTGAAATAAGATAGATATTATTCACTCTTGATATAATAATGGAGTTTTTTTCTTGTTATTCTAAATGCAAATCATCTTGTTGCAGTGGTAAATGTTTTTACCCACGTTGAGGAAAAAATACTTATTTCAGAAAAACTTATTGGATGTAACTTTTTGCAGGCCTTAAAATAAAAACATGTAGTCTCATTTAAAAAAATCTTCTAATTGTTTTTTTGTTTTTACAAAGTCTTCAAATATCAGCTGTTTTACTGTTAACCTTCCTAAAATGACTTTAACACTAATAAAAGTAAATAAGAAATATGATATAAATAAAGAGTAAACAAGGCTGGCTGAGGTGCATGTTTATCTTGTCACCGTGAGCATTGACTGTGACATAGAGCGCCCCCTTGAGGTCAGTAGTTTCTATTCAAGCAATCAGGGAGTAAATAGTTTATATGGAGGATGCGTGGAAAAATAAATTTCAGTGTCGCAATTACAAACATACATCTGGATTTTTGCATATCGTAACTGACACTTTAATTGGAACTACGGTACATACTTTACTCGGAGGACTCTATGATTTAGTTTTTCATCACCTGGGGGTTTGTTTGGGGTTATAAAGATGATAAATATGCAGAAACCCACAGGCCAATTTTAAACCGCGGGGAAGGAAATGTGACGCTTTGGGTGAGTTTCTTTTCTAAAATCTCCAGGAACCTTATTGAAGTGAAACTGAGATCTCGTTCCCCCTAATAGGGGCCTTCCATGGATCTTTTAACGGGATATTAATTCCATACATGTTGCAAAATCACACAGAAATAGTTAACATGACCCAACATCATCCTTCTTTCATCATAATAAAGACTAGATCCTATCTAAATCAAAGATCCCTCCCTTTGTATTCCCCTTCTTTGCGATAACACTCAGTTCTGCAGGAAAAAGAAGAATGTAGACAGTATTGACAGAGTCTCGCTAATAGTGTTGCACATGATTTATCATATATAATATATTAAATGAAGGAGCAAGATAATCAAACTAAAAATGAAGGGGGGAAATCAGTATGAGGTATTTTTTTTCTTCCAAGTTTTCTTTTTCTAAAACTTCCTATGCATATTTTTTAGGGATGCCAGTGATGGTGGTAAAGGATTCCTTAATAGTTTTCCTCATTCAAGCAAAAGAGCCATGGGGAAAAAAACATTTCTGCTAAAGGTGTCATAATCGTTAGGCTTCGGCGCAGCTTTCAGCTCAGTGAATTTATTCACTCCAACCTGAAGGACGGTGATTTGTGATCATTTAAAAAAAACTGAAGCATTTTGGCTCATCTTCAGTGCTCAGTGGCTTATGTCTGCTCTCCTTTTTATATTTATTCTTTTTTCCTGAAATGTTATCCTTGAAAGGTCTGACTTGAGAACAGAAATGTTTTTTTGTCCTTTTTTTTTATGAAGCTACAGCTATTATTTATTTTTATGAGTCAACCTCCCATACTTTGCTCCTCTTACATCCCATTTTTTGCATCCATCTGTTGGCTTCATGCCCTCTATATCTGACAAACTGCTCTTAGAAAAAGCAGTTTTTTCTTCTGTTGTTTAGTTTCTGTCAAAGGGAAAATGTTTGTGTGACCAAGAAAGTCTGTAAATGTGTTTCTTTTGCAGATCAGACGTATATCACTTGACACTTTTCCTTGACGATTTATTTAAAACAAACAGCAAGTTACCTTTTTTGAACTAAGGAGGAAAGATGGACATGCATTTTGCTTTAAAATGTAGATTTACATTTTTTTTTTAGTTTCCAGTGGTTCTATGGCAAATAGAAGATTTTTTTAAAAAATCAAAATTGGGTTTAGACATTATGTTTTTCTGATATATGACTATTGACATGCGAGAAATTCTGAATATGTTTATTAAGAATGATTTATTAAACTTTTTTGTAAAGATAAGTTATTTTGTCAGAAAGTCAGTTAAATTCAATGCAGTTTATTTATATAGTGCCAATTTACGACACAAATCATCTCAAGGTACTTTACAGAGACAATTCAACCAGATCATACAGGCAGATTGGTTCAAAGTTTTCTATCCAAGTAAAAGCATCTGATTGCATCGACTCTTTAGCAGTCCTTCCCACCGAGCATTCATGTAGCGCCGATGCAGAAGATAACTCCCTTTTAACTGGAAGAACCCTTCAGCAGATCCAGGCTCAGTTTAAGCGGCCTTCTGCCAAAGCCGTCTGGGGGTTCAAAGAGACAGAAGCAGACATACAGAAAAAAAAAATAGAAGCACTGATCTTAAATGCTTTCAAAAGATAATGCAAAAGGTAGTGGTGAGCTAGCTCCACAACTGGCTCTGTCTGGGAAAGTTAAACAAATGAGCTCTGAGCCAGTTTTTTTCTCGTAGAGATTAAAAGGAGCACATATAGTTGGTCACAGCTGAGGGCAGTAAAAAAAAAATCAGAAAAAACAGGCCCAACTCTATCAACTATAATCAAAGGTGTTGATCGCAGCAGCCCAGCTTATATTTCTCATTGTTGTCTTCTTTGCTCTTGGTGAAGCTACTATAACAAATAAAACCAGGATGAGCATAAAGTTAGGGGTTGAACTAACAAATAATACAGAATGTGAGATTAGAGATAAGTTTTTTACAAAATTATGAAAAGTAGTCCCCTTGTCCTCCAGCAGTTTAAGCCTATAGCAGCACAACTTTAGAAATGGCTCAGAAATATTATTGCCCTTTATATAGTTAAGGTGTGTGCAGAATGAGCAATGTTTCTATCTGACATGTTGCCATGAAAACCTACCGGATCCTAAGAATTTGGTTAAAGCTCCGTTTTCAAGCCAAATTTTTAAGTCCGGTGCCTTTTGTGTTCTTTTAAAATACTTAAAGTTTTTATATATGCACTGATGTGTTATTGTTTGTTCACAAAGATGTATAACGTGATATTTTTTTATTTGCCTTTCTCTAGGTCACTCATCAAGATAAGGAAGTTCTGCTGTTCAGAACGGATGAGATGGGTCGTGCCTGGCCTGTGAAGGGTCCCTCTGGACCGCAGGAGCCCCATGGAGGACGGCGGAAGAAGAAACCGGTAAAGATGATGCATGATGAGATAAGAGGAGTGAGGAAATGTGGCATTGTGATCTGAATATAAACAGCCAGGAGAAATGCAGATTAGAGACTGAAGTTTTACTCAGAGAAGACTTTCTTTCTTCGTTTGTTTATGTTTGATGAAAGACAGACATTTTCTTCTCTTTGCATATCTTCCGTTTCAGGTCGAGACCCACGTTGATGGGGAGCGTGTTCGCTACTTCCAGGATGACGACAGCATTGGACTGCAGGAGATGGTGAGGAGGGAGAAGATGAGCTCCGCACAAGATCAGCATGCCCTGTATTCCCGTATGGCAGCCAAGGTAAGAATGGATCATAGATAAACAGGACTTTGGTTTTGGACTTGATGATATAGCACATTTTTACACAGTTTGATTGGTTAATTACAACCACTAAACATTAAATAATCAGAAACAAGAGTTCAGTCTTTTCTTACTTGTAAACAGTCTATGACATTCTCTCCTATTGGGCAGTTAAAACCTATAATTAAAAGATTATTGTGGAGTAGCACAAAAAGAGCCAATAGAGTATACACAACTATTATTTTTGTTCGTGCAGAGGGAAAAATAAGTATCATAGAAATGTTCAGATGCCTGAAGCTATCTGTGTGTATCAAGCATGCTGCTTTGAAAATGCTTTTTTTCCTGAGGGGTCCCTGTAGCTTCCTTTACAATTCTTAAGTTCAGTTTGAGGTTAACTGTTTGTAGGATGTAGAGAGAGACCTAAATGCTTCCTGCTTTCACAGAAAAATATTAGACAGGCTGCTGCTTATTAACAGCTGTTTAGTATTCAACATCTGACTAGTCCTTTTGACACTCTGCTGCTTAGAAGCATCTCCTAAGATGACAGGAACAATTTGAGAGAAGAAATAACTGCTGCCCCCTAACCTTAGACTGGTTTAAGGGCCATTTCCAACCACTTGAAATCCATCGTTTTTTTTAAAAGTCAGAAAAGTCATTTTTTGAAGTGAAAAGCTTAAAAGATTCAAGATATATCCCAGCAAATTCCTCATCCCCCTACAGGTCTCATTTATAATGGTCGATATTTACATAAACAATATGTTGTGCCCTTTCAGTCGCTTCCATTTTCAGGGTTTGCCATAGTAAGCCATTATGATTTGCTCGTCAGATAAGCAACGTTTTTACCCAGATTCCCCCTCACACACAACTAGATTTGAGCCCAGTTTCCCCTTGGGGCACTCAGAGATGTAAACCACTACACCAGGGGGCACTATATCTAAACCAATAAAGGGTAACAAAGCTTTCCTCTACGTCACTGATTTTTGTTAAGTTTGGTTAAAATGGTCCCCAAGAGGACAATGAACCCAAACGCAGCACAAAGCAACTGAAGTCAAAAGGAATCAGTTTTTAACAATGCTCCTGTCAACTTTCACAGCTGAGCTGGGTTGAAACGATGATGCAGGACCCTGACAGGACTGTACAGAATGCCCAAAAGCCACACTGACAAAACAATAAAAAAGTTCCTAAATGATGGAAGGATGATAAAGTTATCCAAAAAGTTTAAGACTACTTCAAGTATTTGCAACTGAAGGTTGCCTAGTTATACGGAATTTTAGGGTGTACTTTTCCTTTCTCCAACCTGGGAGCGTATGCAGCTCAGCTCAGGTACCATGTAGTTGTGTGTTGATGCGCGGTTTGCCAAGGTTAGCTCTGTCATACTGGCCATGCAAGGGTATACATCCAGCTTTTGCTTGTTTCGCTGTTTGATTCCCTCTTACACCCTGCAGCAGATGTAGACTGGTAGGTCGCAGTGCATCTGAGAGTCAGTCAGTGATTTGGCAGACTACACCTCTTTACAAGCCAAGTCCCTTTCTGTTTTTTCACTAAAGTTACCATAGAATTAGGAACCTAACTTGATCTCTGTCCAAGTTTTCTCTCATTCTGACTCCTCTTCCACTCATTCACATGTGAAGCATTAACACGCTCTCCCTTCTCTGTTCCACCACACATGCGTGTGTATCATTGAGCAGCCGTTCTGCACCTACAAAGACTGACGCTAAAAATACATTTACTGTTACCATGGCAGTGCTTCTATAAATACTGTTAGTGATCACTACTATAGATTGATGAGTTCAGGGAGAGGGGAGAAAAGGAATCTTTAGCAGTGCTGGACAACGATTTCTCCAGGCTTCATCTCTGTTATTAACCATGTAACCCCTTTATCCCTTTGTTGAAATGATTCTGTTTAATCAGTCACTGTTTTTTCAAAAACACAAAGTCATTTATCTCCGAATTAAGCAGGATGTTCTAAAAATCTATTCTGTGCTACTTAGTTAGTTCCTGTAGGTAACATTTCTGAGGGAGAAAGAATGCAGGTTTTCTGAAACTCCCTTAAGATTTGCTTAGTTGATTAAATAAACGGGTTTTACTTTTGCACCAGTTTTGATTTTGTGACTTGTCTACATTTCTTTTTGCTGTTTGATCAAGGAAAAATTACTACTACTATGCATTTTTATTTAATAATTCTCAGCTATCCTAAAGCATTGTTCTTTGCTCTAAAGTGTTTCTTCTAATTCCTTTTAAGTTAATAAAGATTTTAACCAGTGTTCAAGACCTTTCAATGGAACATTTAGACTGCTTCTCTCTGCAGACTGCATTTTAAACACCTCACTAAAAATGGGTGAAAAGTAGTAACTTACGGTAGTAAAAAACAAAAAAAAAACAGATTTTGGAGTTTCACTTTTGCTAGCCACAAAAACAAAAATTTCAGTTGATCAAAGGGACAGTTTCTCGGTGCATTTCTACATTTTGCATTTGAGGGAGAGCCGTATTTTGTGAAACAAACTTAGAGAAACTTTCATAATCGATATGACGAGGTTCTCTTTGTGTGAATTCATTCCTACTCTCAGCCTTTAGGCATTACATTGATATTTTCCCCTAACTGGAGCAACCACTTCCTCCCTCTCTCTACTACATTATTGCAGTCTTTGTTACTTGTTACTTTATTGTTCCGTTTTTCTTTCCTTCAGTCCTCCCTTCTTCCCTTACAATTGTTCTCGTATTCTTACATCGTTCAGCACAATTGTAGCTGGATTGGTTGTAATAGTGCATCCCCTGTGCTCTATGGGGGAAGGCTGTAGTTACATGGAGAGAGATGGAAGACCAAACAAAGAGAAAGCAAGGGGAAAATAACAGCAGCAAAGGAGAGGTGGCTCGCTTTGGTCTCAGATTAGAGGGAAAAGAAAATGTGGATGATTTTTTTGGTCTGTTGAACCTCCAGGTTCTCTGTTGTGACGTTGGCGTTTTTCAGTAATAAATGTTCCTGAATCCATTTTTGTTTATTGGGATGGATAACTAATTTTCCATCTCTCTCTCCCTGATGATTATTTTGGATCAAACGAACTGCATGGAGATGCTTTTGTTCGTTTGTTTACCTACTATTAGATTGTTAATGGACTAGCTTTTTTTTTATTAGTATATTTAGTCTGCAAATATATTTAGATATTTAAAGTTTAAAAATTATAACAGAAAATTTGGTCGTTCGTTTGTCACTTCATTGTTCCTGTGTTCGCTTTTCCCTTTGTTTGTTTCTTCGTTCGTTCCTTTGTTCGTTTCTTCAATAGTTCCTTTGTTCGTTCTTTCGTTGGTTCCTTCATTAGTTCCTTTGTCCGTTCCTTCTTTGGTTCCTTCATTAGTTCCTTTGTCCGTTCCTTTGTTGGTTCCTCCATTAGTTCCTTTGTTCGTTCCTTCGTTGGTTCCTCTTGTTCATTTGTTTGTTCCCTCGTAAGTTCCTTCGTTCGTTTCCTCTTTCGGTTCTTCGTTTGTTCCTTCGTCCGTTCCTTCATTCGTTGCTTTGTTTTTTCCTTTGTTTGTTCCTTCGTCCGTTCGTTCCTTTGTTTGTTTCGTTGTTGGTTCCTTTGTTCGTTCACTCCTTTGTTCCTTTGTTCCTTTGTTCCTTTGTTCCT